TTTCAAATCGAAATTTTTAGACCCTACCGTTACATGGAAAAACACAGTATATCTATCCTTTTCAACTCCAATTCCTTCATCATAACAATATCCAACATTATTTATTCCAAGTGCATTACCCATCTCTGCGGATTTTTGATAATAAATGAATGCCTTACGTTCATCCTTTTCAACTCCAATTCCATTTTGATAACAGTTTCCAACCTTATATGTTCCACTAGCATCCTCCATCTCTGAAGATTTTTGATAATAAATGAATGCCTTATGCTTATCTTTTTCAACTCCAATTCCATTTTGATAACAAAAACCGAGTGCACAGTAATTACCCTTATTAGTTGCACTTCGAAAATAAGTTTTGGCTTTATCCTTATCAATTTTAACATTTATGCCAAAATAATATTGATAACCAAGTTCACAAAGTTTCTCAGGTTTTTCGTTTATTTGATCCATATGATTCAACACAAATGTAAAAAGAGTTTTTTTTCTTTTTCAAGACAAAAAAAACCTTTATTTAACGAATGCATGGTGATACATTGTGATACATTCTTTATCAAGAAATTACAATAACAAATAAAAATTTAAGATTGATTCGTGCATGAAGGATCTTTTCACTTCTCGATCCTTTCTTTATTTTTCCTCATGCTAAAAAATAATGTTACGGTAGTTCTTGAGCATATTTTCTTTTCTGTTGAAAAAAATAATTAAAATATTGTTTCTTTTTTTGCTTCAGATTTCTCATTTGTATCAGTTAATTCCTTCCTTTCAACATCTCAGTAATGATAATCCAAAATTGTAAATATCTACAATTATTGTGAATGGTTTTCCTTGTAAAATCTCATAAAAATATAAGCACATTCGCGTGAATTATTTTCATTGTTTTTTGACAAAACTATGTCTGATATAAAAATTAATAGTATAAGTAGCATTCGAATAATTTTCTCCTTCTTTTCAGATACACTAAATATTTCATTTTGAAAAATATCGGCATTATGAAGTTAACATGAATATATTGTACTTAATGAATTTTCAATTAAATCAAACGATAGATATACTGTGTTTTTCCATGTAACGGTAGGGTCTAAAAATTTCGATTTGAAAATTTTCTTTAAATTATTTTTTTATGTTAGATTTAAATTAATCTTAATATATAACTATATATATGGTTTTTTTTTCTGAAGTTTGGTTATTAAATATCGCTATAGTAATAATTAAACGTGATAATTATCTCTTTGAGGCAGGTTAACGTTAACGCTAACGTTAATCTCCAATTCCTGCGTAACGATGCATTTACTAATTCCGCCAAACTTCTGATTGGCCGTATTCATTATTCACTATCGGAATATTGTATTATTAATTAAATATTTAGTAAATGCGCGTAACGTAGCAAATTGTGTAACCAATAAATACATTAATGTTTACGTAGTGCGTAATCTTTATACGTTGTACTTACCCAAAATATTCTTTATTAGATACATATAATTAAATGGATAAAAAATACGAACAAAGACTCGCAAATTTAAATAAAATTTTAAAAATTGATCCAAATAATTTAGTAGCATTATATAATCGTGGAATAACCTATTGTATGATAGGTAGATATAATCAATCACTTGCAGATTTAAATAAATCATTAAAGATTTGTCCAAAAAAGTTTTGGATATTGGAAAATCGAGGGAATCTTTACTACAAAATGGGAAGATATTAAGAATCACTTACAGATCTAAATGAATCATTAACAATTTCCCATATAATCCATGGTTGTTAATAATCCGTGGAAGTTCTTATCGCATGATGAAAAGGTATGAATCAGGAAGTGTATCGGCACTAAGAAAACGTGGAGAAACCTATCGCATGATGAAAAAATATGAAAAATCATTATTAAATTTAAATGGATCATTAAAAATCGATCCTAACAATGCATTTGCATTGAGAAGCCGTGGAATGACTTATTATAATTTAGATAAATATGAAGAATCATTTGTGGATTTAAATAAATCATTAGAAATAGGACCTAATAATGCAGAAGTGTTAATGATTCGTGGATATATTTATCACATAATGAACAAGCATAAATAATCACTTGAAGATTTTAACAAATCATTAGAAATTAAATTAAATGAAGAATTTCTTGTAGATTTAGTTGAATCATTT